GCACCCAGCCTTGGGTGGGCCGGGACGGTGCAAGGCCACTCGGGCCGGCCACCAGGGACAGAGGCCCTTGGGCGGGATTAAGAAGGGGAGGTTTTGGTGTGGGGACAAGTTTTCGCTACTCAGCACAGAGCTGACCTTTAGCCCACATTTGCCTAACATGTCAGAGAAGAAGATTTGAAACCGGTTATTTCTCTTGAAGTCCCCACCACGGCAACCAGAGAAAGTAACTGGGTCTGTCCCAGGAGTCCCAGGCCCAGGTGACTGCCAGAGTGGGGCCGGCACTGTTATGGGGCCAGCGCGGTCCAAGATTAAGCTCCTCACCTTCGCCTCCCTCCTGGCCAGGTGTGGTTCCTATGGAGGTGAGTTCCTCGGAAGCCCCAAATCCTGTGGCTTCTTTGAAAGCTCCCTTCTAATTAGAAGCAGTGGTGGAATCACTTAAGTGATTTTATCTGTCATGGGAAAGCAAACCCCAGTCCAAATCTCAGTTGCCCATCCCAGAACCACCAGCGGCCCCATTCACCCTTCAAAAAGTTTCAATGGAAAAGCTGGGAAGCCGAAGAGGAGTGGGGGAGGGGCAGGGAATCGCGCAAGTGAGAAGGGGGGGCACCTTAAATAGAAGTGTAAGTACGTGAGTGTGCAAGTGTGTGTACGTGCGTGTGTTTGACTCTTCTGCGGTGGCAGGAGACTAAATCTAAATGCCAGAAATGAAACAGAATCGTGACCGTCTTCACCTGTTGAGAAACACTTTGATCCGACGCTGAAGCAGCCCTGGGGGTTGCAGACGCAGATCCGCGAGGGTGAACCTCGTGCTCCGGTGGGGAGGCCGGGACAGGGATCTGGCCCCACCGCGTACTTCCAGGTGCTCGGCGCCCATGGGGTCCGGCCCAGTCTCCGGGCCTTGCCCTTCCCCTATCCCCCCCCACCTCGGGGTGGAGACTCTCCCAGCTCCAAAGTTCCGAAGGGGAAGAGAGCCAAGGGAAAAGCGTGCAAATGCCCCCATTGCTTGAGTGCGAAAACACACCAGGTCACACTCGCGGCGCTCCCAGCACACCCCAGCAGGCAGTTTGCCTCGGTTGCCAGCTAGGGACTGACCGGGAAAGCGGGTTGGGGCTGTTGGGAAAAGCTGGAGCTGATGGCGAGATTGCCGCGGCTATAAATCCATCACTTCCCAGGTCAGCTCTGCGAGAGGCGCTGGGACTAGGGCTGGCGGAGTGAATTCCTGGGCTAGCGCGCATGCGTCGGCAGGTAGCAACCCAGCTCTTTATGACCAGGTGAGATGTTGGTGAGCAGGTAAAAAAGGAGGATTTGCCTAAGCGATTCCAGGGAGCGGGCCCGGCCGAGCCCTACAGCCCATGCCCGGCGGGGATCTGTCGCCAGGAGCGCCGAGCCGCGATGTCCATACTTGCCAAAATGGGGGACTGGCAGGTACGGGGGTT